GGGGGGGGGGGGGGGGGGGGGGCACGCGAAGACCGTGGCCCGGGTGCCCTCTTTGGGATGGCCTCCCCCGCATGTGCATTCGCCCAATGCCCGAGTGCCCTTTTTCAAGATGCCCGACAGGAGGACACCCGCGCGGGAGAAAATGCCTCCCCCCAGATGGTACAAGGCCTGGAATGGGGAAGAAACAATGCCGCACATAAGACCCGGCGGTATGTGGGAAGCCGGCGAAGACGAGTGCCGGAAATTCCGTGCCCGGGGATGTACGCCACATGTGGGCAAACACGGCCAGGCAGACACGGTCGCTCGAAAGACGTTGGCCCTCGGTCGGGGGCACGGCCGCCGGACGATTCTCATCCAGGCTCCCGGGGCCGCAGCTCGCGGCATGTGCGGGGTGTCTGCGTGGGAAGGAAGACGAAGCCTAGCCCTGCCATCTGCTCCTGCTGGCCAGGAGACGCACCGACACATTGACGGTGCCGCGCGCACCTTCAAAACCCCAGGGACTCCGCGCCACCCTGCTGCCCTGCCTTGCCTCTCCTATCCTCCCTGGCCATGGCGGGCGTCCTCCCTCAGAGAGGTAGAAAGACGGCACACCGCCAGAGCCATTGTGGAGGTGTCCTGGCGAAGAAACTGATCACATACAGGGTGAGTATATTATTCTTTGTAGGCGCGCGCACAGAGGCCCTGCGCTGGGGGGGGGGGGAGAGAGAGAGAGAGAGAGAGAGGGCCAGTAACAGGGCTTGAGGCGTCCGCTTGAACAGGGCGCGCGCGGGCGGCTTTTGTATATGCGCGTCGAAATGCTTGCCGAAGAGAGAGCTTCATGAGGGAGGTATACCGAGGGGAGCGAGGGGAAAGGAAAGCCCGGGGGGGGGGAGGTAAAGGGAATAGCGAGGCGTGGGTGGGGAGTGGGAAAGAGGGCGGAGAGGGCGGAGAGGGAGGAGAGGTAGAGGGGGAGCAGGGGGAGGGAGCGGGGAGGAGGGGGCGTCATGGGAGGGAGGAAGAAGAGACGGAAAGGAAGAGGAAGGATACTCGGGCAGAGGAGCAAGAAACAGGGGGAAAGGAGAGGGCATGCTGCTCGGGGTGAGGCTGTGCCAGAGACACAAAAAGGCCTACTCCTCCTCTTTCTTCTCTCTCTCTCTCTCTCTCTGCTCCAATCCCTCATTCGGCAACGATCCAGTCTTCCATGCGCGTCGTCTTCTTGCCGCGTCCCTGTTTGATTCTGTCTGCCTCGGGGAACTTTCTTGGCAGACATGCACATACAGCATGCGCGCACTCTCGGGTGTGGCCTTCAGCGTGTCCGGTCCTTCGCTCTTCATCTTGGGCGGATGTGCCAGCATCGTTGAAAGGGAAGTAGCAGAGGGAGCAGCAAACGGAGGGGAGAAGGGGAAGATATGTGTGCATGCGGCCATGTGTGCACGCGCAGCGCGCATCCACAGCCGCATCTTCGGTTTCTAGAGGCCGGCTGGCCCGCCAGACGACAGCCGGTCGTGATTGTCCTCGGGAGTGACAATGCCATCGTCCTCAGCCCCGGAGGAGCCATCTACCGAGTGGGTCAGGAGCACCTCGTCGTCATCCTCTCCGGCGGTGCCGGGAGTGAGGCTCGACAGGGTGGTGGTGGTGGAGCTGCGTCGCCGGCCGGACCCCCCGCGCCGAGCCCCGGCCGCATGGGTGCGCTCGTGCTGACGAAGGTTATCCGCCCGAGCAAAGGACTTCGAGCACCCGGCGAAGCAGCAGATGAAGGGCCGAGCGCCGGAGTGTGTGAGGCTGTGTCGGCGGAGATGCTCCAGGCGGCCAAAGTCCCGCGTGCAGCCGGGTTCCTTGCATTGGAAGAACTGCAAAGAGGGGGAGATGTGTGTCAGAGGCACCAGGTCAAGAAGAGAAGGGGGAGCGGGGAGCGGGGAGGGGGGGGGGGGGGCAGAAAGTGCGGGTACCTTCTTGCCGATTATCGAGAGCACCGCCGCCGGGTGCTGGCATTTGCCGGCAGTGGCGGTTAACCCGCGTGGAATCTGGACATGAGGTGCCATTTTGGCGGTCCTCAGGGCAAAGCGCGGCCCGGCTGTCTGGCGCCGGCAACGGCTGCGAGGGATCCCCGGCCTCCGAAGGCGGGTGTGGGGAGCGGGGAGGGGGGGGGGGGGGCAGAAAGTGCGGGTACCTTCTTGGTGACTATCCGGCGCCGGTCGCGTTTGGTCACTCGCCGGCCGGATGACGGGGTGGAAGAAAGGGGATTGCCAACACCGGCTGCGGAGGCTTTTTGGGGGGCAAGGGCGCGGGCGAAAGAGCCAACAGGGAGTTAGGAAGACGGAGCGAGAAGGGGAGGTTGCCTTGTGGCGATTGCCCATCTTCGAAGGACGGAGTTGGGGGAGATTGACCGGCGAGACCCGAGCCCCGCCGTTTGCCTCTCCTCCTGATATCCATGGACACATACCAAGCCCCTTTCGGGGTCCCACCTTGACCCTGGATGCAGCAGTCATATCTGAGATAGGCGACTTTTGGAAGCGGAGAGAGAGAGGGGGGGGAGAGGGGAGGAAGCCCCAGAGAGGAGAGCATGGAATGTATACCATCATTCGAGGTCAGTGGATGGAGACGAAAAGAAAAGAGGCACGCCAGGAGAGGGAGAATATGAAAAGGAGAGAAATGCGAAGAAAAAGCTGGAAGGGAAAGGGGAGGAGGGGGGGAAGGGGGGGGGGGAGCACACAATACTTGGGTGGAGGCGCACAGAGAAGGAGGCCGAGGCGTCAGCCGACGAGGGCCGAGCAAGGTCAGTGCTGACCGACGTCGAAGTCAACGACGCAAGGGGCTGCTTGCCAATTGAGGCAGCGCGGCCCGAGTGTGTGGGCGAGTTGGCTCCGCTCATGTCTGCCAAGGAAGATGCTGAAGAGCATGCATGATGAGGAAGAGAGAAGGAGAGAAGGAGAGAGGGAGAGAGGGAGAGAGGGAGAGAGGGAGAGAAAGAGAGAAAAAGAGAAAGAGAGAAAGAGAGAAAAAGAGAAGGAGAGAAAGAGAGAAAAAGAGAAGGAGAGAAAGAGAGAAAGAGAGAAAAAGAGAAGGAGAGAAAGAGAGAAAGAGAGAAAAAGAGAAAAAGAGAAGGAGAGAAAGAGAGAGGGAGAGAAAGAGAGAAAGAGAGAA